TAAGGGTTCAGCATAACAAGACATTTTTGACAATTTCATGCTCCCAACTTTGTGGGTGGAGTTTGGGGATGGCCCCTTCCTGTTCCAACATGACTGCGTACCAGTGCACAAAGCAAGGTCCATAAAGACATGGATGGGGGAGTTTGAGGTGGAGGAACTTGACTGGCCTGCGCAGAGTCCTGACCTCAACCCGATTGAACACCTTTTGGGATGAATTAGAGCAGAGACTGCGGGCCCGGCCTTCTCCTCCAACATCAGTACCTGACCTCACAAATGGTCCAACATTCCCATAGACACACTCCTAAAACCTTATGGACGCCTTCCCAGAAGAGTTGAAGCTATTATAGCGGCAAAGGGCGGAGCCAACCCAATACTGAACACTACGGAGTAAGACTGGGGTGCCATTAAAGTTCATGTGCGTGTAAAGGCCGGCGTCCCAATACTTTTGGCAACATAGTGTATATTCTAAAGCTATCTGCTGAATCGACTGAAATTCGAGCTGTCCAGTGATCCTGTTGGCACCATATGGCTTGACAAACATTGAAAGATCAAAGAAGCTGGGTGGAGAATTGTTGGTCAAACAGTCACTGTTGAGGTATTCATGCAGCCATGAGTGCCGGATGTCTTCAGCACAACAGCCAGCAGCGAGAGGGAGATTCCTCCATTCACACTGTCTAGTGAGGAATCTATCAGATGTCTAGTATTAAGCTTGCATGCTGCTGCTCATTTACTGTCCACATAGAATGTTGGAGAGCAGAAGTGACCAAATCGTCCTACTGAAACGCAGTGGAGAAAAGTGAGGTCAGGGACCAGGGATGTCTGATGTCACTATGTTTGCTCTGATGAAAGGACCCTGCGTGGTTCCGAAACTTTGGCTACGTGACATTGTTCTACAACAAATAGAACTTCTGGATTGACTCTCATCCTGCGAGTGCTGGTGATCTTCATTGTTGTTACTTCTCGATCTGCTCGGCGCCATCCGTGGACATCACTACAAGCACCGCCGCTATTTCAAACACTGGTCAGAATTGCTGTATGGGGTGCAGGAGACATCTTTGTTTATTGACAGGGGAACAAGACTCTCAAGACTGGCAGAACATACAAACATTACGACAGTGAAAACAATTCACATTTATGTATTACAATTTGGCATTTAGCCGATTGCCTGGAGCAATAACGGAACTCTAACATACCAGATACGCCTGGAGGTCAGAGTTCACCAATAACGGAACTCTGACATACCATATACGCCTGGAGGTCAGATGTCACCAATAAGAGAACTCTAACATACCAGATATGCCTAGAGGTCAGAGTTCACCAATAACAGAACTCTAACATACCAGATATGCCTAGAGGTCAGAGTTCACCAATAACAGAACTCTAACATACCAGATATGCCTAGAGGTCAGAGTTCACCAATAACAGAACTCTAACATACCAGATATGCCTGGGAGGTCAGAGTTCACCAATAACAGAACTCCGACATACCAGATACGCCTGGAGGTCAGAGTTCACCAATAACGGAACTCTGACGTACCAGATACGTCTGGAGGTCAGATTTCCCCAATAACAGAACTCTGACATACCAGATACGCCTGGAGGTCAGAGTTCACCAATAACGGAACTCTGACAACTCGGAACTCTATAATTGCACAACATGCTCCAGAAAAGATCTACAGTATTTATGTACCGCCAAGCTATGACATCATTCATCATTTCAGTCACTTCCTCTTGGGTTGCGGAAATATTTTGACATAAAACAGAAAGAAATATTATCATTTACAGCAACATATTGCACAGCGTTTTATAAACATAACATCAGTCCCTGCTCCGGGCCACCGTACATTATAAATATTCAGAACTATCTATACCAAGTGCATTTATTAGGATAGAGTGGGAAGGAGTTAGAATCCCTGCCTGGTTTTTACTGCAGTCTGCGTCCATGTTGAAAGAATTCCTCTATCTTCCTGTCCCGGTGACCACTGATGGCATCCTGTATTGCTATCCCAGTCGGAGCTCTGTTGTACAGGGCAAGAGGCTGATATCAAATTCAGGTACTCACACAGCTTGCAATAAAAAAACAAAACACATTGAGTGATGTCCTGACAAATCTCTTTCTCTGTTGCAGTTTCACTTTCACTTACAGGTCTCCTCTTTAATGACTAGACTGTGAAAGGAGAAGCAGTGCACGGCTGAGCTCATCCCTCTATCAGCATGCTTTCTCCTCCCATCAACATGCTCTTTGCCCTGCGGCCACCTGATTGATTTCTTGTGCTGCATCTCTCTCTCTCTCTGCTGTACAGGGACAGCAAGGCTCAAATTCAGGCTTCTTACATCATTAAATGTATTTTTGTATTGATTACATTTGTGTGTTTTATATCTGCCTGGAGTTTTAGCTTTAACCATGTAGTAAAAAAAAAGGTTTGCCTAGGGCCTTGTTTACATAGACGTGCACATCTCTATGGCACATGCACACCCATGCAGAGGCCTGCTCCCAACAGTGACAGGTACAGCCGTCTGCACATGTACTACGTGCTGCTCTAGGCCGGTCCACCTGGATCTGCTGACAGCTCCCAATCAGCTGTGAAATACGCTGTGAGTGCAAGGAATCGCAGCACTTCTGTATCTATTGAAAATCGGTGTGTGATCTTTCATTCATCAATCAGCATATGTCTCAGACAAACCTGACGCGTTTCATGCATACGTGTGCTTAAAGGAGAACTATGAGGCGAGTGAAAATCACTCAGCCTCATAGTTCTAGCCGACCTGTGACAATTAAACTGTCACAGGTCGGCTCACTTCTCGATCTATCCCTGCAGAGAGCCTTGACTGTCACTCACGGCTCCCTCCAGGGAATCCCCCCCCC